GGTGCTACATTGTATAGTGGCATAATGTGCACCTCTGCCTGCCCCTTCGGGGATAAAAGGCGTGATGTTATGGTATGTTGTGTTAGTGAATATTCACCGACTACCTCCAATACATTTTTAAACCATGAGTTACTTTACTTATGAGGGAGTAGCTGTATTGTTAGGCGTCTCTAACTTGGTAATTACTACTAAAATGTCGTTATGTGTCATTTAGCTTAGGCGCCCCTTGTCATTTAAGAGAAGTTAGTGAAAACAGGCCTTAATTTCATTTATTTTAATTAGGCTGTGCCTTAAATAAAGAAAAAGTATCTATGTTATCCATGAAATAATAGAATCTATGAAAGAATAGTATATTTTCACAAAACGAAACACTTAATTTATTGCAAGTATCAAGACTATTCAATAGTTCAATCGAATCTGAGATGAATGAAGCGATTAACATGAGACCCGGTACAACCTTGATTGGTGGACGCGAGAGTCGCACGACTGTCGTGCGATTGAGTGGCGACTAATCGCAGTAAATAGTGGTAGTTGCTTTGTACCATGAGGGAGCCACGATCGCTTTTGGGGATTGAGGTCTTTTATCGAAGAAATTGTTAGTCTTTGATGAATAAGGGGCGTATTCCGGTTGTTGATAGTGTGATGATGATCATATTTATGTAAAAAAAGTTAGACTTCAGAACAAAATCAAAATTTAGAAATTTTTAGGTCTTTCACATTCCAAAAAGTTTAAGGTAAACAAAAAACAAAAATATACAACGAAAAACTGCTTTTTTTCTAAAAACTTGTTTATATTTTGATTTTGACGGCAAATAAAAAACCGGTTTTATTTACTTGGCCCATTATACATCTAAAATGGTCATAAATAACATTTTATTGATTAAAATCGAGTATTTGATGTGAAATATAAGTTTGAATCACGTTTTTGGACACGTGATTTTGGAAGTAGAAAAAAACTGACTATGTAGGGATGTAGGAGATTGCATAGAGCCGCAACAGTGTGATTTAAATTACGGGTTCAGTTTTATAGCAGCATTTTATTTTCTTCTAGCGACCCGCCCTCTTTTAGTCTGTGTGCTATTTTCCAATTTTTCCGATGAATGTATCGAATTTTTCTTGAATGCAAACTTTGACAACAATAATAAATACGTCAAAAATCATTATCCAATTCGATGCAGTCATTCGACAGTTATGCGTGTAATTACGTTTAGGTTATCCATTTCATTAGTACAGATTAACTTTTACGAAGCATTGCCTGCGTAGTCAATACCATAACAAAATAAGTATCTATATTATATGGTTTAACTATACATAAGTAGACGGTAAAAAACAGACTAGAGTAAGAGCCACGGTCGAGCAGAAAACCGACGTGAAACAGCGCTTGTATTATGTTTCGTCAAGTGAGTGAGGGCTAACCGGAGGCCCAACGAATTTCACTTTTACCTTTGTAGGATCAAGGATTAAAATATCATACGAATACACTTATAAGAGTTCGGAAAAAGCCAGCCGGTGTACGTAGAAAGAAATCAATACCAGATCTTAATATTTAATTAACACAATTTTCCTCATCATTCGACGCTTTTTAAACCATGGCAAAACCATAGCATACGTGACTTAAACACAGGCACGCATTTCAAAAGCAAATAAAATAATATTTATTTAAATACTAATACTTCCACGTGGTTTGTCCATGCACTGTTCATATGTAAGTAGGTATATTATTACTTCTCTTTATCATTGTTATTATCGCTTTTGTTTCCGTATACTACTGGATGTAGACCTTTTTAATGAAAAAATCACACTTTTTAAGAGGCATCAAGTGATTTCGCTTGGTTGATTACAAACCTCTCAGTTTCATTTGTTTATAGTAAGTATCTTAAAACACACTAAATGATCGCCGATCAATGACATCGCCGCGACCGCGCACGCTGCTCATTGGGAAGAACCCCTCTGTGGTTCGAAACTAGTAGAGCATTTCTCAGTATTTTCACGTGAGTAACCCGCGATTTTTAGTTAACTCAGTTTCATCTCCTGCTCCGAACCGGGGTCATCGTAATACTTAATTACTGTTAATCAGGATATGGCCAAGTTTTAACTTAAACATTTTTTCAATAAAATAACACTATCTCAATAATTATCGTGGCGTCCTCATTAAGCAAACTTGACAGGAGCATCGCTGCTTGATCTATGTTAAATGACCCTTAGTTAGCAGTTACCTATACCAGTGGAAACCCGAGCGTACGGCGCGTCGCGTTCCACGCGCGCCTCAAAGAGCCATCAGACCACCACAGATGGGGCCCAATAGGGCCGATGCCGATTCGGAGTCGCGGAGAACCTAACGGGTAACCGGGGCTCCGGCTCGACGTGCAGGAGAAGGAACGGGGTGGTTTTTAGTCAGTAAGAGTCTGACACTCCCTCCCGCCTCACCCAGGCGGGGGCAGTCATTCGATGATTTTCCCCCCTTAAAAAAAAAAAAAAAAAATACCAGTGGAAAAATTAGGGATGATGACAAAATCTATTCTACTCTACCATCAAAATAAAATTATAATCGGAAATTGGTCCAGCCGTTGTCGAGTTTAGCGTATTTTATTTACATAGCCAGTCATATTTCTTGTTTAATTATAATATTTTATTAAGATGAACTACAGAATTCCCCGTCTACGCCACTCATACCTGACTACACGTGACTCCAACCTATGACGTCACTCCAAAAACTGGATTTGAAGATGAGCAGAAATATTAGTTATCCTTAACGTTAGGTTTGATATTGAAAGATAAAAGATGCTCTTTTTGCTGTAGGTTCTATTTGTGGGTAATTCTTAATATTATCGATTTTGCTTTCTTTTTTTGTAATACTTAATTGGCAACTCATAGTAGGACTTGTGTGTGAGTATTCTTTTGTTAAATAGGTTGTAGATTAGATTCTCACTTAGAATTTAGTTTAATTTAGATCTTATGCTTGTTTGGTTCATTTGTCCACGACTTATGAAAAATTGACTTGACAAAGCGAACAAAGTGAACTGTTCAATGTTCACTTGTCATCGCTAATATTTATTGTTAATCAGTGTGCAACTTACCAACACAAGAAACATAATTATTTGTAGGATACACCAACGTTCATTACGGTGTACTAAATGGTAATAAATTGTACTTTGGGATACTACGTACAGAGTTTCTCTGGTTGGACACACTCGCAACAATTAACAAGAAAATCAGGTGTACAGTGCAGTGACTAACTAATTTACATTGTACAAAAACGATTGTTTCACGTCGTAAGCTAATAAACTTCCTTTCCAGAGCTTACCTATCCTATTGCTAATGCAGTCTTACATAGATTGTCGCGGAGAACCTAACGGGTAACCGGGGATTCAGCTCGACGTGCAGGAGAAAGAACGGGGTCGTTTTTAGTCAGTAAGAGTCTGACACTCCCTCTCGCCTCACCCAGGCGGGAGCAATCATTCGATGATTTTCTCCCCTTAAAAAAAGTCTTACATAGATTGCATAGTATCATCCTATATTATATTCTGTCGTTTAACTTTAAATATTATTGTGTAAATTGTTAAATATGTTGAATATCAACATCACAGTTTTTAACAACTTTACCTACTTGAAGTATTCGATTGATCTTTCCTTAAAGGGGTTATAGAAGTTGATGGCGCATCTAGTTGGAATTTTAGTGTGATGTTATTTTTTTGTTGTACAAAATGACCTTGTATTTTGCCATAAAGCTGACTGTCTAGACAAAACATAATTCATGTCTGGTATACCTAGAGGTTGGAGTTAGACATAACATAACAATATTTCATTATTTCTCGAATGGATAGGCAAAGATAAGTAGTAAGAGGTAGTAGCCTCGAAAATTTTACATCCCATTTAATAATGAAATGTGCCCGGTATATGGCAATAAGCTCTCCCCTATTCCATGGAACTCATAACATAAGTAGTGAAAAATGTGTGTTACTTCTCTGTGCACCTCTGCCTATCCCTTCGGGGATAAACGGCGTGATGTTATGTTATGTTATGTTAATAATTTATTCTACTTACCCTTCCTGACACCTGATTATAACATTTTTGAAGTGAAATTAAATATTGCATTGGACCCTATCAGTAAGAGATAGCAAACGTTCATCGGAAAATTTGCTATGACAATTTCTTAAGGAGTTCATTTGGATTAATGAAAATAATGATTATATTGTTTTCAATACACAAAAAAATTATCCATAATTACATTCAACAAACTTAAAAAAAATATATATTTTTTTTCAATCCATTGATTTCCAATATAATAACCCTAAAACTGACACAGCATATCGGTATCGGCACAAAAACTTTAAAATTAAAAAAATTAACATAACCTCTTTGGTCGGGTTGGATAAAATCGTTACCTAAAGACCTGTTAAATGCTTAATGGAATAACAGACGGGTTAAGTCAACCGTTAGATGGCAAGATTTACAATTCAAAAGCCTCAATCATGATCAGTGATCGGATTTAGCCTTCACGTCATGTGTTCCAAGTGATTTTTGGGTTCACACTCGAATTAGGGATTTGGGTAATAGAATTTGCATTGCTGATTCAATGGTTTACTTTGTAGATACTTGAAAGTCATGTGCTTTGGTTAAATTAATTGTTGAATTGTAAGTGGCGATCAAGTAATAGGGTAGATGACTAATTTTAATTATAATGCCAATCCTGTAGACTATTTGAAAAAAATGTAATGTAATATGAAGTTTCATAATAACAATGTATTAATACTAAGCTAATATAAGAATAATTAAAAAAATGATTTCACTTGCGTTTTGACACGAATTTGCTTTTTACGGTTAACGGTTTGCCGAAGCTCCGGCTCGAAGTGCAGGAGTAGGAACGGAGTGGTTTTTAGTCAGTAAGAGTCTGACACTCACTCTCGCCTCACCCGGGAGAGAGAAGTCATTGGACGATTCACCTCCCTCAAAAAAAAAGGTTTTAGTACGTATGCTAATCACAAACAATTTTGTTACAGATATAACTGGAATCAACACACAGACAGACACAACAGAATCAGTTGAAACAACAACTATCGACCTCAACTACACACATAGTGAAAGTTTCAGAGAAGCCAGGAAAGATAATGGATCATATATTTTTGTAGCAGACGATGACGGTTTAAACGCAACTATATCAGAAGATTTTCCCCACGATGCACCAGAAAGTGCCTCCAGAGTGCTAGTTGCTAATAAACCAAATGGCACTAATGAATTCAAAATTGAAGATCATAAGGCACCAAGTCCTCCAGTAAAACATCCAATCAAAATGCTACCAGGTGGAGATGTTCAACCAATAATAAGCAAAAATGTTAAAGATTCTATCAGAGCTCATGTACGGTACGATGAAGTTACAGGGGAATTGATGAATGGAGATCACCCATGTAATAGAGAATGTAAGGAAGGCGAAGAGCCGATGATTTGCTACTATCACTTCGTTCTGGAATGGTACCAGACGATGAGCAAGGCTTGTTACGACTGTCCGTACAATTTGACTGACTGTTCACGCCCTGATTGTATCCCTGCTGATGGAATGAATCGACCTCTTAACGTGGTTAATAGAAAAATGCCAGGACCTGCCGTCGAGGTGAGTTTGAATTTTTTTAAGGAGTAATGATGGAGTTCCTTTCTCTTGCTCTTTATTCTCTATTCGATTCTATATTTTGGAACGAGCACCTAGTTCCATAGAAAGACAGACTGACAGACTATTATCTATTTCTTTGTTGTCTTTTCAAAAGGACCTGTTTAAATAATCACTTTGACTTAGACTTTGTATAGAAAATATTGTCTGGTTGCTTCTTTCTTCATCAACAGCCTATAAATGCCTACTGCTGAGCAAAGCTTCTTCTCACACGGAGAAGGATTGAGCATTAATCACCACGCTTGCTCAATGCGGGTCGGCGATTACAAACTTATAATTAGAAATTTTAAGCCCAGGTTTCCACACGATGATTTCCTTCACCGTTTGTCAGTGGTGTCTAGATAATCTTAGAAAGTACATATAATTCGGAAAAAGTCACATTGGTACTTGACGTTAGTAGGTTTCACCCTCATGCATGGAAAAGCGGGCCTCTTAAACCTCTGGGCTACCACGACCACGGTCGCTTTTTTACACAAAAGTAGAAAAAACGTGCCACCAGTTTTTCATCTAACTAATATGTATAATTATTGTGCGCAGAATGTTAGACCGAGAGCGACAATATTGTGACAATTAGCGCTGTAGTTTTAATTCTGTATAAAACTGTGAGTCGTTTTAATTGGGTCTCGTTAAATAAAAGTATGTAAACGTGATTGTTACAAGCTGCAAATAGTTTTGACTGTGTTATGCAAATTTTTGTTTTGTGTAACAATTTATTTAATAAACATTATTAAGTGGTAACCTGATGTGTTTTACCTTTTATAATTGGTGTAAATTTCATTAATTGATTGCGAATCAAATTACGGTTATACAACCTTTAATTAAAATAATGTAATTTGATCTGTGAATTGATTTGTTTAAATGACTGCAAATTAATGCACTATAGAAACATTTGTAGAATTTTTTAATAATTTCAATGTACACATGTAGAACCTTTGTTTATCGAGCTTACCATCAAAATAAATATAAATCAAACAGTATTACTTACATTCTTACATTCTCAGAATAGTAATAAAAATATCACAGTACATACTCAAATATAGGCGAAATGTTTGGATGTTTCTATAAATATTTGCTTTTTATTTACAAAGGTTATGTACCTTTGTTTCTGTTTTTATCTACCACTATACTAATATTATAAAGAGGAAAGATTTGTACCTATTTTTGTATGTTTGTAATGAATAGGCTCAAAAAGTACTGGGCCGATTTAAAAAATTCTTTCACCAATAGAATGCTACATTCTTCCAATTTGACATAGGCTACATTTCATTTTGAAAAAAATTAGGGATCCTTGGTAAAATTTGAACAATGTAACCGACGGTGTAGAAAAATGAGTCTTAAAATGTCTTTCGTCGAATGCGCTGCCGAAACTATTAGCGATAGAACAAAATAATGTACAACAATATTGAAGAACATCATAATGTCTACAAAAAACTCCGCGGTAGCATTATGTCCAACTATTGTAGTTATGTCACTACAACAATCCAAAATTTCCCGGGACGGGCTGCTAGTAAAATATATAGTGGGCAGTAGCTTTGCATACTCTCCTATAGTTCCAAAACTGATACCTATTTTTTATGTACGATGTAACACCCACTTTTCACTATTTGTGCTATGGGTCCCATATAATACGGGATGAGCCTATTACCATAATTACCGGGCAGAATTCAGAACACGGTGCAATTTTTTTTAAAACCCAGTAGTACTTTGCTCGACCCGGGAATCGAACCTCATACCCCTTGCCCGGCAGTTGCACTTCCGACCACTCGCACAACCAGTCGCGATTTTATCACAAATAATTTATTTTGAATCTTATTTAATTGAGTTTAGAATTTATTTTACTTTATCTCAATACCACAATTCCACAGCCATGCTGGCCGTGAGCGCCGGCTCTAATTGTCCCTGATAGGGAAACATAGGGCATATTATCCCTAAATACTATTTCACATTGTCTCTATCGTCCCCTTACTTCTAGTATTTTGACTGTGTTGACTCTCACAAGTCATTTTGTACCAGCTAGGCTATTTGTAAGAAGTTGCAAATGCGTTGGGAGAAGCCTTGTAACTTCTCTCACGCGGAAACAAAATAAAAGCATAATTTCGTCGACTTTCGACGAGTCGAAGAGAAGAAATATACTATTTCAGTCGAACCGCCTCATTTGTGCCAAAGCCTAGCTCTTCCACGTAAAAAAAATTCAATTCGACTCCGACAAAGCTGCTGCCGTATTATAAAATGTCATATCTAAGATACTAACACACTGACAATCTGAATTTTCGAAGTAAGTTCTTTAACAATCCCGCCCATCATTAGTCAAGATTAATTTAACAACCAATGAAATGGCGGACTGAGATTGACTGCACTTCGATCTTTCGAATTAAAAGATACAGAATCTTCTAGTTAAGTTGTCTCATAATCATTTTGCAGGTATGCCAACATGACCGTGTAATAGTCGACGTGGAGAATGACCTGATGACGGAAGGCACCACAGTGCATTGGCATGGACAGCACCAGCGAGGTACTCCATACATGGATGGAACGCCATACGTGACGCAATGCCCTATATTACCTGAGACCACATTCAGGTAAAGATTGTTTTTCGTTTTATTCCTGGCTTAGTTGGAGTACAATCTATTTTTTGGCAGCACTGATAAGCAATGAGTATAATTTTGAAAGGCTTCAACATTTAAATCTAACAATTATCATATCTGACTCCTATTACAGCTCCATCCAAAGGTTGTCTGGAAGAGATCGCCTTGTGCGATAAGACCGCCCATTGTGCACTATATCAATTATTTCTTGTCCTTTGTGTTTATGTGGTGTACAATAAAGAATAATAATTATTATTATTATTATTAGGTACAATCCTTAATAAAAATAAATTATTTCATCTGTTCAATACAAAAAAAATAATAACTATTATAATATTTTAGTACTTTTCCAGCAAATTTTTAAGAAATTTAAGTATGCTGTTTGACACTAAAAAAACGTGATTTTATCCGCTAGCTGTCCTGTAATACAATACTTCATTTTTACAGGTATCAATTCAACGCTACGCACGCTGGCACCCACTTCTGGCACTCCCACTCTGGTATGCAGCGGGCTGATGGTGCAGCTGGAGTCTTCATTGTGAGGAAACCTAAATCTCAGGATCCTCATGGTAGACTATATGATTATGATCGGTGAGTGCTATTTACAATATTTTACAATATCTAAATAAATAGAAGCATTAAAGTAAAGTTTACACTTTTTTATAAGACTAGTACACCTTGTTTTGTATCCAGTCCATCGTATGGAGAAGAAGTTAACTACTAAGAATTTTAAAATCATGAATACAAGTTTACTTATAACATAACATAACAGCCTTTTATACCCGAAGGGGTAGGCATAGGTGCACATTACGGTACTTATTGCCACTGTACAATGTAACACAAACTTTTCACTATTTATGTTATGACTCCCATGTAACAGGGGGTGAGCCTATTGCCATATACGGGCACAGTTCCAAACTCCGTGCTACTACTGAGGTTTTTACAAACCAAGTAATACTACAATAGGGTAGATGCCTAATTTTTATGTCAATGTCCGTCTGGTAGATTATTTTAAATCATTAGACACGTATTTTTTATTTTCTTACAGAAACGAATATTTTCGACGATATAATGATTTGAAATGTCGCGTGACGTCACTTCTATGTACATTTTATACGATACGTAGAAATGACGTTTTAGCCCCCACTTCTAAACTTTGATTCGTTTTATCTAAGTATTGTTTTATTATACGACAAAATAAAAAAATACGTGTCTAATATTTTGTAATTAGGTAACTAGCCTACGGAATAATTATATTTTTAATTTTTATATCCTTTCATCATTCCAATTTAAGTGATCTTCATAATTAACAGTCAAGCTTTACCATGGAACAAAACCTGAATATAAACAATCACTTGGTCCTTAAACAAAAAGTACCAAGGACAAAATAGACGAAAATCTCCAAAATGTAAATTGCTAATGTCTAATGCAAAGAGCTTCGATTCACCGTACCACAATTCAAAGGGCTACGGTAATAAAATCAACTATCAACTTGGAAACTGCAAAGGGTCGTCTTGAAGGGAACAAATTATGTTACGAACTGATCCTGACTAGGTAGGACGGTCGGCTTTACTCGTGTCAATATTGATACCTTTGTACAAAGGTAGAAATAAACACTGTTTTGTAGGAGCCAAGGAGTTTTATTTGCTTCGGGTATTTAGTCTGTGGACATGGATTTAGAGGTGATTATAGTACTAGTTCGTTTAGTTAATGGAGGTAGTTTGGATTTGGATTTATTTCAAATGCTAGTTGAGTAGGTTCAATACTATTTATTAGCGCTTTACGCCCAAAGTGTACATAAGGTGGACTTGATACCGCAGACATTTTCTCCCAGTCCCTTTGGGTGATGTCTACAGGAAACAGATAGCGTGGTCGCTAGTCCGACTGCCGGGTAAGAGGTCTCGAGTTCGATTCTCGGGTCGGGCAAAGTATTACTGGATTTTTTTAAAATCTCAGTACCTAGTACCACGGAGTCTGGGTATGTGCCCGGTATAATAGACTCACTGCCTATTACATGCTACTCATAACATGAATATTGAAAAGTAGGTGTTACATTGTACAGTGGCATAATGTACACCTCTGCCAACCCCTTCGAGGATAAATGGCGTAATATTATGCTATAAATACAGCATTCAATTTTAAACTTAAACTGTCAAAACACCGCGAGGACACCGGTGACCGCAACCTATTGTTCTTTAATTGTGTCTATAATGACGGTACTCGACGAGTTAAAATGAATAACACAAAAAGGCTTGAAAGGGATTCACATGAGTTATCTTTAGCACTACGACTTAGAATAACATTGTCTAAATAAATACTTTAATAAAAATGTTTTAGCTACAAGTCTGTAATTTCGAGTCTACGTTCATATTTGTTGGCGGTAATTTTTGAAGCATGTAAATGTTAAAAGACCAAGTTTGCCTACCCCTTCGGGGATAAAAGGTGTGATGTTATGTTATATTATTCCAGACATAATATAACATCACGCCTATTATCCCCGAAGGGGTAGGCAGAGGTGCACATTATACCACTGTACAATGTAACACCCACTTTTCACTATTTATGTTATGAGTCCCATGTAATAGGGGGTGAGCCTATTGCCATATATCGGACATAATTCCAGACTCCGTGCTACTACTGAGAATATTTAAAAACCCAGTAATACTTTGCCCGACCCGGGAATCGAACCCAAGACCCCTTGTCCGGCAGTTGCACCTAAGACCACTAGGCCAACGAGGCAGTCTATGTTTTTCCAGACACAAATTAAACCCAAGAAATCAACTTCAAGTACAATAGCAACTATTTCTTTTTCATTTTTTCCATCTATAACACCCAGCTCATCTTTTACAGATCCGACCACGTGATGTTGGTAACTGACTGGATCCATGAGTTAGGGATCGGGATGTTCACCGACCACCATCACTCCAGAGGAGATAATAAGCCTCCGACGCTGCTCATCAATGGAGTTGGCCGGTTTAAGGTCTTCAATGACACTGCTAAACCTATGTACATGAGAGCAGCCAGATTTAATGTGGAACAGGTAAGGCTTTTTGTAGATTAGGACCTTTAAAATATGTTAGAGTGATGAAGAGGACTAAGTTAATCCAAGAACTTTGAGTTTACATTTTATAAATTGTGATAGGTGGAGCAAACAAGACACAAAAGTTTAAGTAAGTGGGAAAGTTTTTGCGACAAATAAATTGATTTTGAGAAAAACCTAGAGTGCGACAACCGCTAATTCAATGAAAATATTTGACATAAAGAGGAACATTTTATTTTATAAACGTACTAGTATTGTCTCCTGTGTCGTGGGTGCGTTTACAAACATACAATTTCACATACACATCACACCCAGACTCAGAATAACAATCAGTTGATCACACAAATAGTTATTCTGTGCGGGAATCGAACCCGCGACACGTTGCTCGGCTGCCGGTTGCCCAGCCACCGCGGCAACCGTGCAGTCATTGAATGTCTATTTTTGAAGATTTATGAAATTTGTAGCAGTACATTTGTGTGTTAATGAATCGCAATAGGTTACACAGACATGCTGAAAGATTCTAATAAAAATATTAAGCTAGAGTAAAAAATCAATACTAAAATATTTATCCTTAAAATTTACAACGTGATTCCGCTCTTCCACTTCAACGACAGAATCCTTATCACTTAAACTCAAATGCTTAAGCACTACCTTCAAAGAATCTCCTAACGATGTCGCCAGATGTATTTAACCAAAAACCTTCCTTATTCCAGGGCTACAAGTATCGTTTTCGCGTGATCAATGCCGAGTTCTTGAACTGCCCTATTGAGTTGTCTGTGGATGGTCATAATATAACGGTGATCGCTTCAGATGGTTACGACTTGCAGCCGATTACAAGTAAGTGATCATTGTAATAGTTATTGTAATGGCTCGATCCCCGAGTGATGGAGTAAGACTGGCTTTGAATCGAATAGTTAACGTGGATACGAATGGATTTTACGGACTGCAGCTTCTTGCAATTGAAAATGGACGTTAAATAGATTAATTTAAGGATGAAGAAGGGATGGAGCTCCATGTTTGAACAATAGTAATTATAGGGATATCATGAATGGTTTGATAGGTCTTTGATTTACTAAAAATTAATAAAAGATTTCTTTTAGATAAAGTTTGGAATGGGACATAAATCTACTGTTAAACCTATCAACAGAGATCTAATTTCATAGGTTAAAGCAAGATAATACCTAAGATTAATGGTTATTCCCGATAATCTGTTAGTAAATATGGTTAGGCTCACTAGGGTTGGGTTAGGTTAGAATTTTGACACATTTCATGTGGAGTTTAAGGAAGAATTAACTGATGATTGAACAATCGGCTCTTAGAGATTATCCAATCATCAGTTAATTATTATCTGTAGTATAAAATTGACATTTTATAGTTTTTAGTATGGAAGAAACATCAAATATTCAAATTAACCCTTCAGTTAAAACCCTGGCGTTGGAGAAATCGGTCGTAAGGTCGTAATATATGTCCTATGTCCAGTTATCATATCAATCAATCAATACATGTGTACGGCGATGAGAGCATCACAAAACGAAACTGCAATTTATAGTCATGTTCAAGCGAGAAAAACAACCAGATAATCCTTAAAATCACCGTCCTAATTGGCCAAACAGCTAACAGTAATGAAACGAACCAATTAATATTCATACAAAGGAAGAGATCAAATAAAACAAAACGAGTATCAAAAGATAAGAATACACGTAAAAAGCAGAAAAACATTAAAGTCATCCCACGATCACAGGTCATATCAAACATAATGAATTGAAACGTCCATTAGAAGGTACGTACGTACAAAAACGTCGAGTAGGTATTCGCTTTGATATTTTTCATTTTTATGTTCATTTATATTCAAATCCGTGGTTTCTTTTGTCATCTGGCCTGGGGTCGTCTTTGCTATTTTTTCCTCATTACCCGCCTATCTCATTCCGGGTGTTATTGTTATGTAGGTGTCGCCCAGAAGTTCCATAATCTTCTTTAGATGAAGATGTATTGTCTAAATCGCTGAGCAAGGATTCTCGGGTTCGATGCCCGGTCAGGCAAAGTAATATTTAAAAAAAAATTGTGCCCGGTATATGGTAATAGGCTCACTCCTATTACGTGACACTCATAAGATAAACAATACTAAGTGTTATATTGTACAGTGAAATTAAGTGCCGTAAAGTGCATCTCTTTCTACCCCTTCGGGGCTAAAAGGCGTGATGTGATGTGATGTTATGATGCAGTGTATTGCCCAAAATATTGAATCACGCTGATGCACAGCAAGATTAGTTATAATTTCGATTTATTTATTAAGATAGCACGGAATCTGATTCAAAGAAACTACAGTTTTATTTGATAAACGAGTTTCTATTTCTGTGAGGTCTTTACATAACTGGCGAACCATAACCTTATTTTGGAATTAACAGAATTTTTCAGTTTACACTGATGACAAAAATTATACGATCACATTTGATAGGTAAAAAAATTTTGTCTGACATTATAAAGCATCCTTTATGACCGAAACAATGATTTTAAAACGAAGTTTAAAAATATTGTCGCAAAACTTCTGTATTCCAATATATAGTGGTTTATCATTGTGACCCGATAGCCCTAGGCTTTATTTGAGCCAGTGTGCTGCTAGTATTACTGGCTTTTAATCGTTTGTGCAAATTTGCAGGACTTAACAACCTTTTGACCTTGATAGCAAGCGGTTAGCTTATGTATGACGTAGAACTTTTTTGCATTTTTATCCTGTGTATAAACGTCACAGTAAAATATTTAACAACCTTTACTTCTCTTATGAGTGTTATAGTAACTGATTAAAGAAGACATATTGGACAGAAATCGGGCACTATCTCTCTCTCTGATGAACCTGATCCCTTTGAAATTGTAACCTTCAACCTAACCAACTGGGTTGGAGGTTGTATTATAGCCTAATGTGGAATTATCTTCTGTAAAGGAACACGATACTCCGATAGTCGACTGTCACGGGTCATTAGTGATGATTCGTGTGTATTCTGAATATCATATTCATAATAATGTCCTTTCAAATTATTCCATAATTTTAGAAAATAGGTAAAACAAATCCATTCTCGCAACATATTAGAGCCAAACATTTCGAGAGATAGGATAATTTAAGCTCGCATTAGTGCAGTCGTTGCGGATACGTTGTTATCACATCGTTTGCGAACTTATGTACCACTAGCTTCCTCTGAATATCACCCACTAGAGATTTTCCGTCAAACATTGGTGGTTATTGGCTAATGTTGGATTGTTGGTCATTTTTTCAATTTATTGGGTGATTTAGTTCTGTATAGTTGTGTTTCTATATTGGTTATATTGAGTGATCGTAATTATGAGCCAATAACGAGGTCTTAAATTACTTACAATAGCCATGGCGACTATTTTTTAATTTTTTGTCCGTCTTTTAGATATTTTAAAAATCTCCGATACGTATTTTTTCTTTTTTCTTGTATCCAAAAAAACATGTAGATATTTTGAGTTAAAGTGACGCGTGACGTCACACTTAGGTACGATTTCTCCGTAAGTGTGACGTCAACACCCCCCACTCCCTAACTTTAATGCGAAATAACTACGTATTCTTCTGTTAATTTGATAAAACAAAAAATACGTGTCTGATATTTTCGTGCGATCTTAATGACAGACTAATTACTTTTTGATTTTTTTACCCTGTCGACACGCCTATTGTCGAACACTAGGCGATGCTAAAATAAACGTAAAATATCTGTAGTTTCCAAAAAAATTGTAACATGAAAATTGAAACTGTTTTCATACCAAAGAACCAATCAATATCGTCTATCGACTATCGAGTATAACTTCTAATTAAAAAACGAAGTTCCAATAAAAGCGCCAACGAAATTAAATCGTCAGCTGTAAACTGGGAAACTAATAAAAAATTCGCTTTCAGTGGCGAACAATCAAAAATTTTAAATAATACAATCAACGGACAAACGGAACGTACTAATAGGAATACAGTACAGCGAATGAAAAAACTGGAAACTGAAAAATCAAGTTGGTTTAAGGGCGACGCGGAACAAATTGTCGGGGACGCGAAACTGGGAAAATGCATACGCCCAGTTAACAATGTAGAAGTGAGGGGGAAATAGGGAAAAAGAATTAATTGAAACTCTTGTCATCTCGTTATTAAATGCAAAATAGATTCGTTCGTTGGCTCCCTGCGCGACACTTGTGTTGCGGTGCTTTTGGTTAATATGCTTCAGATTTTTTATGGTTTATACTTGTGCGATATTGTAGAGGAATTATGGTTCTTCTTTGATGTGTTCTTTACCTAGTTTGATTGTGAGGACACAATTTGCGTCGGGAAAAAACATTTTTGCAGCACACCCAATTTAGTAATCGGTTTAAATTATACAGCACTTATTGAAAATCTCATACAGGATTAATGTCGGAATACTCAAACGCTACTCAATTTCAAGTCGCGCTTAAGTATAGTTCTGTCTCTAAAAATTCTTTGTAAAATGACAGAGATGGCACGATATTTAAGCTCAACTTAAAATTGATTAACGTTTCAGTATTCCGGCATAAATGCCATTTATTCATTGCCTGTAGCCTTCAAGCTTTGTAAATACCGTTCAACATTCTCAAATCGCCCAAATTACACGTCATAACCATTATAAGCATAGTAAACCATAGTTAAAACTGTCCAAACATTCAAAAGGAAATTAAAATCCGATATTTGCTCAGAAAACTTTCGCCGAACTAATATCAGAATTAAAATCAACATTAAATTCTAGGAGGGCATCGTTGGCGTTTAGTTGGCCAGCTTTCATGCTCATCCCCTTTCGAAATTTACATATTCAAATGTGCACGAAGGATCAAAGAACTAGATCTGTTACGTAGACGTTTGGTGAAAGCGTTAGTTGGTTGAAAGCCGGTGCCTGGTCCAACAAAATTGGCAGGCAAAGTAAAAATATTTAATAGATTAACTACGGCTAACTCGAGGTTTGCTTACTCAGATTTGTGTAAGGAAAAGTGTTTACTTTGTAAATCTTAATGCATATGTTCCTACGAATTCCAATAGACGTGTTGCTGTTTTTTATTATTTTGCTAATTCGATTCGTTTTAAAGTTTTAAATCTGATGGTCCAGACAGTTTTCAGTTAATATGAAATTACTTCCTCCTACAATTACATTTCTAGCAACTAATATGAAACTAACAACTACGGACGAACAGTTAGTGTAATGGACCTTTGTCCAATCCCTTCGGGGCGAAACTATGTTAATGTATGTTTAAATACCTGATAGGTTAGTAGATACACGAGCGAAATATTTAATACAGAAATCGGATGAAGAGAGAAGCATGTTCACGTATCCTAGTGTTAAAATATGTAACACATACGACTTGAGAGAGTACACGAACAATTTCATCTCGAACATAATAAAGAAATTTTCTCACTTGCAACGTAGAAGTTGTAACGAATGCGTCGGAAAATATTCAACCTTTCTCGTGTTTAACCTTTGATTACGTTGGTAGGACTGTTTCTGTACCCCTGGGATCGTCCGCTACCCTTTGACCTAGCGAACTTAACCCAAGGACAGGTGTAGCTTGGGAATATTGTGGGACGCAAAAATTGTTCACTAATGGCAGCTTCGCTAATGTTATTCTGGGTACCATGTTTTTCAATGTTGTGGAAACCGTTTTAATGGATGATGTTGGGTTTAATACCGGGGAAAGTAATTACGGGAATAATTTAGGACTTGGTGATATAGATGTTGTGAAAACAGGACTTTCTAACAGGGTTGTTGTTGTAAAATGTATTCTAATTAAGAATTAATAGAGTGTTCTTTGTAATTGAGGTTTTTTGAGTTTATAACTTA